CTTGATGTATTGTTTTAAAATTGATGTCATGTTTTTTTAGGCATCTAGTAAGATTTTTTTTTCAAGTTTGATTTGTATGTGAATTCATTAGTGACTTTTTTTTTATCCAATATCCATATTTTTATATTAATTAACTTTAGTTGTCAAGTAGTTAATGGACTTGAATTGTTGACAAATAAAAAAGTCTTCAATTTTATTTGGTGCATAGAACGAATGGATAACTAAACTAAAAAGAAAAAGAAAAATATATATCTTTGCAGTTTTATTCTCAGCCTATTAAAATCTTCTTCTTCCTTTCACCACCTCACCGTATCTTTTTCTTCATCACCTCACCACATCTTTTTCTTCATCACCTAGTCTCTCTCTCCATCTAATTCTACTTCGTCTTGCTCTCCTACTTTTTTTCCTCCGTCGATTCATATTATTTACTACTTCGGTTAATAGATGTAATTTGTTTCTTTCACTTTCCTCTTCTCTTTTTTTACTTGATAAACTGGAATGATTCACACTTCATCGAGACATCGACATAAAGTGACTGTTTTTTTCTGTTTGGTTCAATTCTATATCTTTTTCTCAATCTGAAAAAAATACAGAACATCAATAACTTAACCAATTTTTTGGAGTGACCGAAATCGTAGGATTAGGTGTAATCATTTGGAGTTTTTGACAGAAACAAAATGTCTAGAATGTAATCAAGTGATGTGGATGTTATGGGGTCTATCCTTGCTCATCTTAGTTTAGTTGGGAGGAGAAAAAGATGGATGACAATATTTTTTGGGCTCACATAATAATTACGAATAATTCATTTAACAAACAGTAGTAGCCCATCCGTGAAACCCAAAAGAAAACAAACGAAAAGAAAAATAATAGAGTTGTACATGTGTCATGCCGAGATGACATGAATTAATGACGTGGCAGTGTAAAAAGAGGGAAAACCCTTCTTTATATAATTAGATATGAAGAATTCGAGATTTTGAAATATAAATATAATATAATGGTCAAACAATATATTAGAAGCGGTCCATATAATTTTCTTAGGAAATTTAATACATTTATCAAGGTTGTGAGAAGAGTTGCGGATAAGACACCTCAGCTTAATAAGAAATGTTATAAGTTAAACAATGCTTTTCAATTAATATATTGAGAATGTATATAAAATTTTCTATACATGGATTGCTGATTTGTGACTATATATATATATCTAGTTTCGGTCCGCCTTACGGGTGGGCTGTAAAATTAACGAATAATTTAAGTAATCACATGAATATTTCATGGAGTTTCTGTTAAATAAATACTGTTAATAATTTATTTAAATTTTGTATATTTATTTCATTTGAATTCTAAATAAACTATATTATCTGAAATTATGATTTTTAAAAATAATTTTTTTTTAATTTTAAATATGTTTTTTCATTTTTGTTTGTAGAAAGAAACAACTTGTAAATAGATTCACAAATCTTTTGTTTTATATTTAGTTTTATATATGGTAATGGATTATTATTTTTTGCTAAATTTAGTTTTTATGGAAATAATTGTTAAAATATTAGATATTTCATTAATATATTTAATCCAAATAATAAACCAATTTATGATTATATATTTGCTATAATTTTTAAATTTTTATTTAATAATCAATTAAACCATGTTATTTGAATAAATGATCACAATTTACAAAATAAATGGTACTGTTTAATTCTCATAATATAATCTTAAATTTAAATTTCTTAAAAATCTATTGACTGTTTACCAAATAATATTCAATCACCTAAACCATAGCAAAACTTAATTTCAACCCAATCTAACCCAAAAAGCTAACCGACCTGATTTCTTGGTCTTCTTTACCTGATTCTTCTTCAGTTCATGATAAAATCAATTTTGCATATTTATGTTCAACAAAGCACAACGTGATAAGCAATGATCTGACTGCTCACTCGGTTTATTTATTCACTATTTGACACTTTTTCAGAAAAAAGTTTCAAAATCAAAACAAAGCACGACATGATGTTCTTTGTTACAATGCTCTATTTCTCTTCCTTCAGATGCTCAATTTATCGCATTGTTGTTGTTACAATAATCCTAATACTAAACAGAAAGAGAAAAAAAAAAACAGAAAACACCAAAATCAAAATATGAATCTTCAACTGATGAATCAAAACCAAAATTAAATTTTGTCTCATTCAATCCTGCAACTGAAGCATAAAATAAGTATTAGAGTTATCAATCAGTCATCATATTTTGATTCCCACCCCAATTGGCAAAGATAAGCAAATCAAAAAGTTGTTGAAAGATAGATGATGGTTAACAAATCCACAAAACAGAGCCTCCGTTCTCCGACCTCTGTTCTTTGATCCAACGTCAACGAATAAACAAATTACAAAACATAGCATGTGATTGAACCCATCGAGCTATCTCCTGGGAAGATTTCCAGACCTTGCTTCTAAACCGCATCGTAATCAAGCTCTAACAATGGATTTGATCTCTCATCCATCCTATATTCTTCTCTCCATCTCCAAATCATCAAAAAATAAAACTGTAACATCCCGAGTTGTGATATTTGGAAAAGGCTTAAGATAATTGATTTGGCTACCTATGTCACCAAAGTGTACTTACCTTTTCGGGAGCACATCTAGAGAGAACTCCAGACTTAAGCGTGCTTGAGCTGGAGTAGTCAAAGGATGGGTGACCTATCGGGAAGTGATTTGCGATGCCGTGTAAGTGAGGCCAAAGCACGGGGAAATGTCGGGTGGTGATTGCAGGGTCAGTAAACAATGATTTCGAGTCTTGGAAAATTAACGGCTAACCGTCGGATGGGATGGGGCCCACGGGACGAGAGAGCGGGCGTGGGTGGCCCATTAGTCGTGGGCGGTCGGGGCGTTTCAAGTGGTATCAGAGCTGGTTAGCCATCTCAGTTCTGACCTGAGAGGCGTCTTGAGACCTCTCGGGGAGTGCAACAGGGACGTTTCGTTATTTGAGAAGGGGTGAACTGTAACATCCCGAGTTGTGGTATTTGGAAAAGGCTTAAGAGAATTGATTTGGCTACCTATGTCACCAAAGTGTACTTACCTTTTCGGGAGCACCTCCAGAGAGAATTCCAGAGTTAAGCATGCTTGAGCTGGAGTAGTCAAAGGATGGGTGACTTATCTGGAAGTGATTTTCGATACCATGTAAGTGAAGCCATAGCACGGGGAAATGTCGGGTGGTGATTGCAGAGTCAGTAAATAATGATTTCGAGTCCTGGAAAATTAACGGCCGACCGTCGGATGGGATGGGGCCCACGGGCCGAGAGAGCGGGCGTGGCTGGCCCATTAGCCATGGGCGGTTGGGGTGTTTCAAGAACCTTAATAATGATTCAAATCGGGAAACTACAGCTTTTTAAAAAATAGATTGAAAGTCATGAGTGAATCAGGAAACATAACTTTTCTAATTCTAAAAAAAAAATAAGAACTTTCAAGAACTAGATTGAAGAGAGTTGCTCGCCGACACTCAAACTATAATAAGAGATAGCCATTGATATCACTGTACTTTTTAGAAGTTAATGACATAGAGAATTGAACAGATGATTTTCAGGGGATAGAACAAACCTCTTTATAAGGGAAATGAATTCATTGATGAATCGTGATAGGAGTGGGAGCTATTGTTAATGACTGCTTTAAAGTGAAAACGTCTAAATTCAGACATATTATGTAACGTTTACAGATTTCTATGTTTTCGGTGAGTTTAATCGAAATACTATATAACAAAGATAGCGAGAAGTCGCAAAAGAAACCATAATAAAATACATAACCTAAATAAATGAAACGCGGAGTTTTATGGATGGACACATATCACTAGGAGAATGGGTGAATTAGTGACGCGTCTTTTTAAGGAGAGAATAAACTCTTCTTTATATAATAAGATTCGGCCTGCCCTACGGGCGGGATGTAAATTAACGAATAATTTAAGTAATCACATGAGTATTTCATGGAATTTCTTTTAACTAAATATTAACTGTTAATAATTAATAATTTTGTTTAATTCTGTATATTTATTTCATTTGAAGTCTTAATAAACTATATTATCTGAAATTATGATTTTTAAAAAATATAATTCTTTTTAATTTTAAATATGTTTTTTTTCATTTTTGTTTGTAGAAAGAAAAAAATTGTAAATAGATTCACAAATCTTTAGTTTTATATTTAGTTTTATATATAGTAATGGAATATAGTATTATTTTTTACTAAATTTAGTTTTTACGGAAATAATTGTTAAATGATTAGATATTTAATTAATATATTTTTCCAAATAATAAAATTAGTATACATATTTTCTAGAATTTTTATATTTTTATTTGATAATCAATTAAACCATGTCATTTGAATAAATGATCACAATTTACAAAATAGTTATTATTTTAATTCTCATAATATAATCTTCAATTAAAATTTCTTAAAAATCTATTGACTGTTTACCAAATACAGTAATACTCAATCACCTAAACCATACCAAAATTTAATTTCAACCCAATCTAACCCAAAAAGCTAACCATAACCTGATTTCTTGGTCTTCTTTATATGATTCTTCTTCAGTTCATGATAAAACTATTTTTACATATTTATGTTCAACAAAGCACGACGTGATAAGTAATGATCTGACTGCTCACTCGGTTTATTTATTCACCATTTGACCCACCTTTTCAAAAAAAAAAAGTTTCAAAATAAAAACAAAGCACGACATGATGTTCTTTGTTACAATGTTATCTTGCTCTTCCTTCAGATGCTCCATTTATCACGTTGTTGTTGTCAAAATAATCCTAATACTAAATAGAAAGAGAAAAAAAACAGAAAAAAACAAAATAAAAATATGAATCTTCGACTGACGAATCAAAACCAAAATTAATTTGTGTCTCATTAAATCCCACAATTGAAGCAAAAAATAAGTAGAAGAGTTATCAATCAGTCATCATATTATGATTATCAACCCTGCAGTCAACAATTCCAATCCTGTTTGATTCTGGTACAATCATGAACCTTGAAGAGCCTCATTTCCCATACTACCCAGCGCCAGCAATGGTAGACATTCTAAGTGTGGAAGCCGACCCTGATGTAAGTTCTAACATCTTTTCAAACAATCTCTGTTTTCAAACATTCTTGCTTTTATGATCTGAAGAGATTTCAACATTTGGTTAACGATTTGTTCTTTAACTCCAGCTTGAAGTAACATCATTGATACCTATAAAGAGCCAACCACAGCCTGGTTGGGGAGTTTGGCCGGATGCCTTCAACGACGATCGTGTGTCATACATGGAAAAACTTATATCTGACCATCGTCCCTTCAAGAAGGAATTTTGGCATGGTGGAGACACATCTGTTACTTTCGATGTCAGCGATTCAAGTGATGATGATGACCCTATTCTTTTGAGAACAGTTTGCACCTCCACTCGCAAGGCTAAACCAGCTTCACCAAAAGTTCTAAAACCAAGGAAGACACCAAAGATAAGTGTCACGCACCGTAAGCAAAGACGCATAAGCAACTACTTCCAGGCTGCGGCTTCTTCCTCCTCCTCAAACAACAAAATTCTGGAGCTTTTGTCTGGAATTTGTGAACAAATATCCAACATTCAAAACGAGCAGAGGCTGTTCCACAAATTTGTTGAACATAAAACAAAAATCAACCAAGCAGACAAAGCATGTCAAACTGAGTCACCAAACTTACCTACGGTATGTTCCTGTTTGGTTATAATTTATAATTTTCCATCCACAATGAAACATTTTTGTCTTATCTCTATTGCTCTACAGGCTATGGATGAAGATCACATTTTCACTCAATCTCCTGTTGTCAGCCAATACAAGGCACAGATGTTACGAAAGGAAGCAACTCCTGAACCCGTCCACACTTCTCCTTACCAGACTTCTCCTATCCACACTTCTCCTAACCAGACTTCTCCTATCCACACTTCCCCTACCCAAACATCTCACATCCACACATCACCTATCTCCACCTCTCCTATCAAAACCTCCACCCCTGTCCATAACACCCACTTCTCCATAACACCCCCGAACACTTCTCCCAACCACACATTTGCCAACCCTTTCAATGACACACCCATCCAAGAAAGAACCCCCACTCAGCCAACTCAACCTTCTCAATATCGGAATGGTGTCATATACGATGCTAGTGAGCACCCTGATAGCCCCGAAATCAACCATATCCTAAACCACGGTAAACTAATCTTCGACCCCATAAGTCCAGACCCCCCCCCTCTCTCACTCAACCTAAATACGACTCCTCAATCAATCCATCTACGCAAAGACGTATTTTGCCACTCTCACCCCTCCCTTTGACCCCCTGTACTTCTCCCAATAAGAATTCAGACATTCTCTAAGGTTTCGTAGGCCATGCGTCAGGTATCAACGCATTCTCAGCCACCGCTACATCCACCCATGACTCTGTTGTGGACTACAATGTACCCAAGCCTCAGGTGCGAAACTTAATGCTCCTCTGCATTATTTAAAACAAACTACTTTCTTAACTCCAATGCCTATGTTTTTTTTGTCTAGGATCAACCAACGGAAGAAAAGGAGATTTGTGAACTGAGCGATGGCTCTCATGCAAGAGAACGGCCCAAGCACATTCCATCAATTGAGGAGAACATCCTTGCAAAAGAGCTCTACCGCTCCAAAGCTATTCCGGCTCTTAGTACCATATGTCCGTTACCCCAAAGTGAATGGGATCTTTTCGAGAAGACTATTTCCAAATCCACAACTGCGTAAGTCTATTTCAGCTCTTCATTACTGTTTTCATCTCTTAAAGCTTACCCTTTCACTTTGTGGACACAGGTTTCATATAACTCCATCCAAATTCGACTTCTCCAACATGTTCCTACTTGAACTAGCGAAGCCTTCTCAATGGACAACAACTTATGTACAAATTCATCACATCCTTTAACAGTAATAGCTTTATTTGATTTTGACTTATGATTAGTAATAGCTTTATTGGATTTTATGTGCTGCACATGGAAATCCTCATGCACATGATAGGTGCAAGTCATGGACGTCTCCTCTACGAGCAAAAACTAGCTTTCATTACCCCTCACCTTACATCTGGAATCCAAGTAATATCCAAGCTTTTTAACAAGTCAAGGAAGCGAGAAAGCTTCCAATGGGACAACAAACTGACGGATCTTGTTCTCCAGCCAGGGAAAAAATGGATGGAATATGTGTTTACTGTCTACACACCCATGATATGGGCTGACAAACACTGGGTTGGTCTTGCGTTGGTCTTGCGATAAATCTCGACTTGGGGCTTGTTGAAATATTAGATCCCTTACCTACTTTATACAGCGACAAGACTGTTGCTCGCTACATCGCTCCTGTCTTGAAGATACTACCCTATCTTATTAAGAAGGTTGCAAACTACCAGCTTACTCAGTTCCGCGGTCTTGAACCATTTCAGTGGCATCGTATCCCAGACCTCTACATCAACGAAATAGGTGGCGACTGTGGACCTGTATCTGCCAAGTTCCTTGAACTGCACGCACAAGGGGAGCTTGAACTTCACATGTCCACATTCACTCACCGCCATGTTGCTGATATCCGCAAACAGTACGTACTTGACATCTACAAGACCATTGTATTACCTACTTACTATGGATCTTTAGGTTGATAACTTCCCCTCTTCTATCTTTTTGTGGTTGATACCACAACCAATGTAATATGTTAAACCTATCTCTATGTCCTTCCTTTATGACTTATAATATGTTAACGATCGGCACTAACAGGATTCTATCTCCTTTTTTTCCTGCACTTCTCCTTATAATATGTTAACATATTTCAATCCTTACACAAACCATTTTGGTGTGGATGAGACAATGTTTATAGCCGTCCACAATTAAATGTCTGGATAGCTCTTTCAAAACCCAAACCGGTTTACAATTGGAAAACAAATCAAACCAACTTAAAAAACTAAAATCTCGGCTCTTTTTATAACAAATCAAAAAGGTTATCAATTGGCAATTTCATAACCAATTTCAATCCAGTTCACGTATCGCTTTCTTTGGTAGCAAATGAAACCGGTTAGCAATTGTTAATAAAATCAAACCAAAATCGGTGTGGATGAGACACTGTACATAGCCGTCCACAATTAAATGTGTGGATAGGGTCATCGAAAACCAAATCCTGTTTACAATTGGAAAACAATTGAAACCAACTTTAATCCTTAACCAAACCACTCTTTATAATTCGATCCCACACAAATCGAATTAGGGTTCTCACTTTGAAGCACCCACCATGAGCAGCTCATCATCCTCTACTTCCCGCAAAGGAGCCCGCAGAAACGTCTACGGAGTCCCAACTAGATGCTGGTATGGAGAAGGCCTCGATACTTGGGTCTCAGAGACAAAGGAGAATCCGTACCGTCGATTCTACAGATGCAAAATTGCTTTACAGGTTCAGATTTCACAATTCTACTATCTCTATTTCATAGATTCTGATTTCTTCTTTAAACGGCCATTTATTGGGGGTGATGTGAACAGAGAAAAGCAGAGACTCATTTGTTTAAGTGGATAGACGAGGCACTACTTGAGGAGATAAAAATGGTAGGTGCCAAGAGTCTGGATGTACTACACGACTTGCAAGCACTTACCGAAAAGATGAATCTCCAGCTTGAGTCTCAGCGTTCATGGTTCTTGGGTAGGGCTGAAGAGATGCGGAAGGAAATGAACGAAAACATGCTCAACCTGACTAAGTCCCTAGATGAGGCAACAAATCAGATGAAAGAACAAATTGATGCACAGTTCAATGCTCACATCTACTCAAAGAGAGCAATTGCAGTCACAATCTTGGGAGCTATGACTTACCTCTATTGGAAGCTCCTATAACACTACCAAACTCACCTCTAGAAGATATGACTTATGTTGTTCCACTGCTTGTTCTTAAGTTGCTGATTAGCTCTTCTACTTTTATTAGCTCTTCAGTGTTCTTCTTGAAAAAATGCCTTCTTCTCATGTTGTTGCACTGTTATGTTTGTTGGATTGGAGGGATTAAAACAAGATCTTTGTTTTCGTTCTTTTCTTGTTGCTCATTTATGGTTGAGTAGGAATTATTATGATCAATGGTTGTTCGACAAATCAATTACTCTGGTAAGAGTCACAATTCTCTATATTGTCACCCTACAATTCTCTTCATTAAACCATAACATAAAGCAGTTGCAAACAAAACATTCAATTCAACAATAGTATTCATGTAACAAGCAAAAATATTGTCTCAGCAAAACACATTAATCAAATATCCTCTCAGCAAAGCAAAACAAAACAAAACAAATTCGTTAAAGGATGATCAAAATCCATAAAAACATCTTCTCCTCCAACAAACATCTAACATAGAACACATACTTCCACGTAAAAGCCGTCCACGTTAATCCCGTCCACAAATCAATCAAAACCCTCCACAAATCCGTCTAGATTGGGTTTGTGCAGCTGCTACGGTTATGCCCTTCAATACGACACCTACCACACTTGTTCGGAACCTGCTTCGTCTTTTTGGTTACCTGAATAAATCACTTGTGTTCATCAACAATGCATTTTCCAACACTAAAAAAGTTTATCTACAGATAATAACCTTACCGGGAATTCACCAATCGAGGGAATCCTATTTTTCCTCATGCGACCTGGTTGTCTCTTTGTCACGGGGGGGCATCAAGACCATCCTCCTCACCTCCTCAGGGATATCCACATCACGAGGATCTCCTTTTGGACTTATTACCCCAGCATATGTTTCCCTCCATGTTAATGTCTTATAACAATGACCAACCAAAGTCTCGTAAGGGACTCCCAAACTATCTGCAGCAATCAGAGCATGTCCACAGGGGATTTTGATCTTATCAAAATACTTTCAACTACACTGCTTATTGGCGAGATTCACCCTTTCCTTACGACCAAACTTGCCTAAAATTTCACAACTCCATTCAGTAGAAGAATTCACTTTACTCCCCTTCATGGTTGCCATATTCTTTGTCATCTCCTTGTCCACCTCCACACTAACCATACCCCTGTGATTACCGGCCTTCTTTCTCCTTGTACAGAACCACCTTGTCATCATTCTTTGAATAAAAATGACCAACTCCATTATAGGTGACGTTCTCCCCTCCCCAAGGGCATGGTTTAACTATTCTGCTATGTTACTAGTCATGATGTTATAGCGTTCCCCAGGAAAGTTCACCCTTGTCCAATGCGCAACACCAATCTTACCCAAATAAACACCACCCTCGCTTCTCTGCGCCCTTACTTTGCTATATAGATCCCTATAATCTCCTTGACGATAAGCCATTGCAGTCAAAGTCACCATTTTTGCTAAGTTTTTGCTTGAGAACCGTGAGTTGACGTTTCTAGCCAAATGAACTATGCATACCCGTGATTAGCAGAAGGATACACACGTTTCACAGCTGTTGCAATGCTTGTTGCACGGTCAGATATTATCGCAAGACTACTTGAATCAGTTAATATCCTCTCCAACTTCATCAAGAACCAAGTCCATGATTCTTCATCTTCAATATCCACAATAGCATATGCTAGAGGGAAAATCTGAAAATTTGCATCTTGTCCGCTTGCCGTGAGCAACACACCTTTGTACTTACCACCTAAGTGTGTTCCATCTACAACCAGCACACGACGTAGTTTCTTAAAACCTTCTATAGAAGCACCAAAGGCAAGAAACAGATAAAGGAACCGCTCATCGCCGTCCTCATCAACCTCAGTCTCAATATCAGCAAACGTCCCAGAATTTGCAAGTTTTAACATGTGCAAATACTCAGGAAGTTTCAAATACGAATCTTCTTCATAACCAAAATTACCGATCACAGTTGTCTCTTTCGACCTATAGCATTTCATGTAAGAAGAAGTCACACGAAGATCTTCTAGCAAAAGCTTCTGCAATTCAGACGGCACTGGACCCTTCCCAGGAACACACCAAACTTCGATTTGTAAACAGCAGCAATCACCCGGGAAGTTGCTTTACTCTTATATCCCTGCCTAAACTCTATTGGCTAGGTATGATCAAGTTGAGCTTTTTGTATCTCGTAATAGCCACAACCCCTAACTTCATGAGCTGTGACACGCCAATCACACCTTGTATCAGGGCACTCGCATACAAATGAATCAACTTTGGTCCTAGTTTGCTTGAAGTGAAACTGGTTCCTTATATCGTAAATAGCAAGAGATATTTGACAATCTTGTTTGTTACCAAACACCTTGCCCACATAGATCCTTCCATCACCTTCCTCCAAGTCCATATCTGGTATCTCTGCTGCAGCATAGCTTGTATCATCAAAAAGTGGTGGTATGTCAAAC